TTTGGAAAGTGTCACAGATCATGAAATACGAGTTGCTTCGAGTATACATTTGGATGACTCTTTCATTAAATACGTTATAAATTGCGAACTATAGGAATGAACTTTCTCTTTACAAGGAAAACTAATCGAATATTTCAAGATCGAGTTTCCAAAGTAAATGGAAACAATATGTTTTCGATTAGAAACAAGACAAAATAAAACAAAAGAAGTAAATGAACAAAGTGAAAGCGAACAGGTTGATGAATTTGGATTTGAAAATGGTTTCTGTAGATGTTTTGGGTTGAAGTTAATTAATTATAAATGGGGGATCCTTTAACCTTTAACAAAGAAACAAGAGATATTGGTTTTAAACTTAGAAAAATATGTACACTGAATGAACTTAATTTTAAGTTATTTTTATTTTACTTAAAAAAAATTTTTAAAATTTACTTAAGTCATTTCGTCAAAATTGAAAATTTATTCAACAATTTGGGAATGTGTAAGCAAATTATTTGAAATGAGTTTTTTCTAATAACATAAATTAGAGTTTTGATTATAAATTTCTCACTTAATCCTTTGGCGCAGATAGGACACCGGTGTCCTTTTTATATATATATTTTTCTGACGCTCTAATTATAAGTAAAAATATATTTTGGTATTTTCTAATTGTAAAAAAAAAGAGTCTAATAGTAACTAAAAAATCTGTTAGATATTCAGAATTATATTTGTTCCAAAATATTTAATAAAAAAAATGGTTAATGGTATATTTATTTGTTCATTTGATTTTTTTTTCATTCATATTCAAAAATTTATCAATAATTGATTTTGTAAATGAAAGAAATTTCAATGATGAATTACTGTTTTTCTTAGATCTAAAAATAACTGCAAGTAAGGGTAACTTTTATTTAACTATAATTGTTGTTCACATTCGGAAATTTTTACATTTCGCCAAAAAGGGACACCGATATCTGATGCTGTATTTCATAGCAAAAAAAAAAGATTATTAAATACTAAATATATTATTTTCTACTTATTTTGACCTAAATTAATACAAGAAAAGGAAGAAAATATGCTTTATGAAAACTGCGTCAAAGAGTTGAGAAACGACTTATTTTTTGTATAAGGCGCTTTCAAGGATTTTGATTCACAAGATTCCGTGGTATTTAGTGAAATAGAAGGTCTATAAAGACAGTGACATCAATGTTTTTAAGATTTCAAGGCCTTTAAGATCCTAAAAGAAAGAGAAGAGTGAAGGAAAAATTTCATAAATTTTCTTTTTAAATCAAATTTTTGGAGAAGTTTCTTTCTTGGAGTACAGGTACAATCACCAATGTTACCAAAACAAAGTATTTCAATTAGATTTTTTTCCCTTTTTTACTTTGAGTATAAAATCTCTTGATATAAGTTTTGACACTGATGTGGTTGTTGAAGATAGAAACTATTCACGACACTTAAACAATCAAATGTCTGTCCCCACTTTTTCATTTTTTATCACTATTCCAAAATAAGACTATAACAACGGGATTACATATGTTCGACAAATCCTCAATTGTATTATTGTAATATCCTCAATTGTATCCATGCAAATCAAGCAACATAATTTTGATTCTCTAATATGAATCTCCATTTTTTTAACTATGACAAATGATCAGGTCATGATAAAATGTCTTTTCAAACATCTGCAGGTAGGAAAGGGATAATTCCGTTGATCTGCGGCAGAAAAATTGACAGACTTGGACTATGGAGAAGTCTTGGAAACTTCCAGGTAGTGGCCTGCGTGGAACAAAAAAATATCGCAAAAGGGACCAACTCGAAGGGTATAGCTTGAAGCCTTCTCCGAGCAAACTTCTAAATGTTTTTTTCCCGTAATTTTTAGAGTAATTTTTGCGGTAAAATCACACTTACAGTAATATTTGCTGTAAAATCACTGAAATTAAATAAATATTACTGTAAAAATTACGATATACGGGTACCAGCGCTTTCTACCGTAATTTTTTACAGTGTTTATTTGATTCATGTTTTATGACACTTTATTTATGATATAGCATAAGTATTATTTTTAAAAACAAAACCGTATTTATGATGTTTGAATAATATCGATATTTCACGATACATCATCTAGGTAGAGAGAAACATTAAACTGATTTTATTTATTTATTTCAACTTTTATTTATTTATTTATTTTATTTATTTACTTATTTTATACATTTTTTATTTATTTATTTTATATATTTTTTATTTATTTATTTTATTTATTTATTTATTTAATTTATATATTTTTTTATTTATTTATTTTATGTATTTTTATTTATTTATTTTATTTATTTATTTATTTATTTCATATATTTTTTTTATTTATTTATTTTATTAATTTATTTAATTTTGTGTTCCGTTATTCGAAGTTTTCGAAATAATACTTAAAAAATAAACATGTTTTATTAATTACATGTTTTATTATTGTTACTTTAATGAACACTAATCTATGAAAAAGAAGGCAATAAAAACATTTATAATTTTAAATAAGGGAAGCAATAAAAAAAAAATGCTTTCTAAACTTGTAATAACATGAACAAATGTAAATTACTTTCTTAAATAAACCTGTCAAAAAAGTTATGATGATCTATCGGTTAGCGAAAATTGAATTTATATGAGTTATTAATTTAGCAATGCAAACAAAACTAATAGAATTGTATAGAAAAATTTAAGGATATTTTGATGGATATCTTCAACTCTTAAAATAATCTTTTAACACACATATATATTTTCCTAGCTAACTAATTCTTCAATTAAAGTGTGTTATGCAAATATTGATCTTAATCAAGACGGGATAATTTGAAAAATAAACACACAAGAACGTGTCAAAGTTAGTTTCAATATAATGCACCTAGAATTACTTGTCTTACTCTTAAATTCATTATTTACTTAAGAATAATAACCAAGTTAAATAGAAAAAATACCGTTTTCAGAATAAAAAAACATTGATCTAAGATCACATACTTTAAAGTATCGTTTGTTTATTCAATATTCTTATATTTTCATATTTTGGTATTTAACTAGATATATAAAATACAGTATTTACTATTCGATTTTACATATTTGTCATACGTACTGTATAAATAGAGTTGGTTTCTATATTTAATTTTATAAACGATTAATTTAATAATCATTTTTTAATACTTTCATAACTACAACTTTTTTATATTCGTATTTGCAGCATCTATAATTCTTTAGATTAAGTTAAAATTCGATATTTAAATTTTTTTGCTCATTTATATTATAAGAATTATATAAAAATGCCGACTAGTAATATAGTTTAAAGAAACTAGTTCACAGATTATTTCTATTATTAATAGTTATTAACATAATTGTTAATTATAAAAATTTAAAATACATAAAATATTGTGATTATTATTATGCCATTACTTAATTTTACAATGCTTATTACTAAAATTTAGTGTATTCATTTTAGTTATCATAAATAATGTTTTTTTTAAAAATGCTAAAATTAGTTTTAAACATTACAGAAATATTGATTATGGCGATAATTATTATACTATTATTTATTATAATAAATAAAAGTTTTAAGAATTAAAATAATTATTACAAAAAATTATTATTGTATAAAAATTAATTTATGTGCTTAAATTTATTAATACTCTGACAGAGTGTAATATGTGTACACTAAACACATTACATCATGCCTACAATGTAAAAAATAATTATAAATTCTACAGAAAAAAACGCATTTTTTTACAGAAAGAAAACTGTTTAACTACAGATTTTTTTTAATGTTTTTAATCGCCAAACGAGCGCTGCAAAAAATTCCCGTGTTTTCGAAGACTTTCTTCGTTTATTTGATGCTTTTTCAGTCTCATCATAAACGGATTAAAACTGAAAAACGGAAAAAATTTCAAATCTAGTTTTTGCCATGGAGTTTTGCTCACCGTAAAATGATTTCAACTTTTTCAAATATTTTTACAATTACTTTCTATACTTGGTCTTACTTTTCAGAAATTATTTTATGGATTTGAACATGGTATAAATAAAATTGCGATTCGATTTGATACTCTACCTGATTATTATCTGTCTTCAGATATAATTTTGCGGTAAGTTAAATTGCCAGACATTTTTATAAGAATGGGCGAATATAATGTCATGCGTTTTTACAAATAAATATAATTTTAATAACTAACACTTTTAAGATAAAGGCAGTTTAAAATTTTGTTTATAGCCTAGCAAATGAGCTGCTGTGGTTCAGAGAACAGAGCACTCGCATCCAAGTAAGATGACCCGGGTTCGAATCCCGGATCACCTTACTCGGAATTGGATGGTCATGCGTATTTTGTTCTCAGCTCACACCGATCAAGAGACTGACTTAGTTATCTAGTACTAGTATTATCTAGTTAGTAAGAAGTTAGTTACTTAGTTCATTAATAACTGAGTTTGTTTGTTAAAATAACAGTATTTTTATGTGAAATAAACGGTTTTAAACTGCACTTCAGATGGCAGTTTTTTTCTGAAAATTTAAGATATTTTTTACAGTGTAACACAAAGCAAGCAAAAATAAACTACGTTAAACTTGAAGCACCAAAAAATATAATAAAAAAACAATCTGAACAATAAAACGAAATACCAGAAAAAAAACGTTTCGAAAAATTTCAATATATATAATATCTGTTATTTTTTTAAAGAAATAACTGCATAAAATTCATCATTTAATAAAGTTCTTCTTCGTAATATATCTACCATAAGCAATTCTTTACTATTATTCCACTTATCTTAAGCTATATATATTTATTTCACTAAATAAAATAAGAACAAGAAACAAGATTACTGCTAAAGAAAGCAATTCCGTTTAATACTTTCTTCATGATGGGAGCAGAAATTTGAAATTCTTCTAATAAAAACTTTATTTCTACTTAAATATTTTTATTTAAAATAAAAGAAAATAGTTGATATCACGCAATATCTAAAATGGACTCAAACGTCCTACTATAATAATCGTATAAAATAACACTTACTTTTACATGTAAAAAGTAGGATTTGTAAAGTTAGAAATTTTCTGATGACCTAATATCTCACCTGAAAAAAAAATAAATGGAATTATTATACAAAACAAACAACATAGACTATTTTATAGAGTAAATAATCCATACAAAATAATAAAGTACTTTAGAATCAGGTTACTCTTTATTCTTTTAAAGAAATTTAGAAATCAATTTTTATTATTTTCGAACAGATAAAATGTTGAATTCAAATCTTATTCTTTCAAAAATAAAAGAATAATATTATTTGACAGTATAAAGATATTTAGAATGCAGGATTTTAGATTGTATTTAGATTTAGGCGCTTAATGATATAGATGCGTTCATAATTTTTTTTTTGGAGTACATGCTGTTTCAAATTCTATAGAAATGAAATTAAGGATATTGAATTTATATTAAAATAGATAGTTTTATCTTTCAGCTGGTAATAAAAGAAGGTATGATTAATTACGATTCCGGTATATTCCAAGGACGCCTATTAATTACCAACTCTTAATGTTCCTTATTTATTTTATTTTATTTTACAACCAATGTTGAACACCGATCCAAATTTGAGTTTACGACTTTCAATGTTCAACTCTGTACCCTGGTAATTTTGAATTCAACCCAGAAGACAAGGGAACTCCACGATCAAACATAAACAATGGGACAAACCAGACTTCGCGGAGGACTTTTTGATGATACTAACCCACATTTGCGGTACATGGACAGAAAAATCACGAAAATCTCTCCCGGTTAGCCCGACGGAAAGGGAGTTTAACTTTTTTAACCGCGTTCCCCCAACCATTTTGGAAAATTTACGTCACCACTGTGATTGGTGCGAGCCAGGAACAGAATTCGTATTGATCAGTCATTACTGGATTCAAACCCGGGTCACCTCAATGAGAGGCAAGCTCTCTATTCCCTGAGCAACTGAGGACCTTAACTATTTATTTGTGCTTATTACTCAATATTTATTTATTAGTGCTTAGTAATATTTGCGGTATAAATGGTCAATCTGAAATCGAAAAAGAAATAAGCTGAAGCTTTAATAAGCTTTCGCGGCTCTTTGTTAATCAGTTTCAATAAGAGGATGAAAAAATACGGAATTACGTATTTAATTAATTTTGACAGCAAAAAAAAAAGAAAAAAAAAGCAAAGCAAGCAGAAAGTAGCGTGATTTCTTGAAAATGTAAATTCATCAGTGTAGTCAGAGATAAAAATCTGAGACGGACGAAACTCGAAAGGCTGTTTCGGTCTAAGTTATAAAAAATAATCAAATCAAACAGAAAATTCAAAATAAAATTTTTTTAACACTACGCGTAGACACGAAAAAAGCAAGACACTGATGTGTTGACAAAACTAATGAAAAAGAAACAAACAATTAGAAAAAAATGTCGCAGGAATAAAAGTTCGTAGTCAAAAATTAGACTTGGATAAATAAAAACGCTTGTAATTACTATACAAAATAGCATAATATAAAAATTTACATCACAGTATAAATAATAATGTAAAAATTTACATCATAGCTGACGGTTTATGTATTCAACGTTCATAAATATTGAAAAAAAAGAAACTCGAAATTATCTTCATTTAAAGAAGTGTCTCAGTTAATTTTATTTTTTACTTATTTTACCTTTACGTCACATGTAAAGAAATACTCCTTATTTGGTAGTTGATTGAAGAGATCCCTACACTTACTCAAGAAGGGTAAAATGAAGTTATAATTTATCAGATACCATTTCCCTCTTCTGCGAATCTGCTGGCGAACAACAAAGGAACAAAGACCCTGGCCGAGAGACAACGTGTGGGCTGGGACGCCAACAATCTTCTAATCTAATTACTAATACGAGATGCGGGATGATCATTTTCACAGTAGCTACTTATTTGAAGTTGACGTTAATGAAATTCCAGATCTAACGATCGAATTATAGCAAAGAGCGCCATTCTTGACTTAACCCTAGAAAAGTAACCAAGGAGAGAACTAATCCAAATAACAAGAATTTCTCCTGCATGCTATATGCATGAATAAACTATTAAGAATCCTATATAAGTCAGGAATTGATAAGAAGCTCAAAACAAAATTAACCCTGGTTAGGGTTCGCCTTTCTTTCAATTCGGTTTCAAAGAAAGGACTTCAGTAAACATAAAATTTCGTTGAATTCGAAGTGATCTAAAGAATTCGTAGAAATGAAGGATGCTTTCTGCGATTATCGTTCATTAAAATTGCTCGGTTGAATTATATAAATGATATAGGATCATTAAAGGAAATAATTTGTATGGAAAGAAAACATTTTTATTAGTAATTTATGAAAATGGCAAAAAGAATGTATTCAAATAGGGCAAAAAATAACTAGTTGTACTATACAGATGGGATATTTTTAAGGCAAGGATTATTGGGAACACTTTAATATTCTCCATGCGTATTTCTGTATGAAATGCATATTAGCAGCACACTCATCTCAAAAATTTTCTTCCTCAATCTGCTAAACAACTTCTTAAAAAAAGGAATTGGAAAAAAATCGCTTTTTAAAACACAAGTAAAATACCATTTAATGAATGATTGATTAAACTTTTATTTTAGCAGTACGTAGCAAATTTGTAATTGTTCACTTGGTAATTCCATACAATTAGCAATGATTATCACATTAAAAACCATAATAAATTCGGACGGGTCAGTTTATATTTGAAATAAACAGTTAATAATTTTAATAGTATCGTAAAAATTTTTTTAGAATACAATTTACAGTTAGAAACTTTGATGTAGTAAGAAAAAAGTGGTCAAGGCCTCTGGGCTTTCCACATTTGTCGTTTGACGAAGGCAAAGGAAGCAGCTGCAAGTTCTATGATTCAACCCCCAAATCTTGGGGACGTAATCTCATTTTGTCTTGACAGAAGAAAATTATTTTTAAAATTGAAATCTTGCAATACAGAATTACTACACCATAGAGAATCAATGAAATCTATACAGATTTATAGGTATGGAATTTAATCATTTCATATTCGGAATAAATTTTTTTTAAAAACGGAATTGAATTTGTCGTTGAATGTTTAAAATCCTGTAAGACACTAAACAGGACAAATTTGCATTTTTAAAAAATAATAATGATACAACACAAATTTACTAAAGAGGCAGATTGTTACGTAATTTCTAGTTTATATATAAATAAAAAAATGCCATGTCAGTCAACATAAATGCATGCATCTTATCAAATAGTATCAACATTACATTTGCTGGCAAGCAGTAAAAATTCAGGGATTAATCAAAAATCAAATTATGGTATAAAGTACAGGCACTTAGGTTGCATAATACGCAAAATCTATTTTTACAGTAAAATATTGCACGATTTTTATAGTAATATTTATTTAATTAGAGTGATTTAGTGATTTTAAGGCAATCATTACTTTAAAAATTTCGGTATTTAAGAATTTTTTTTTCCATAACATGTTCCGGTAAAAATGGATTTTACAGTAAAAAGTACCGGCACTCTGACAGCCAGTATTTAATGCCGTAATTTGATCTGAAATTTTTTACATGGCACTTCTACAAGTGAGGGTTCCCACGGTCCTTGAGAATTTTAAAAAGTGGTAATAAAAATAAAAGAAATTTTGACATTTTTATTTCTGTGTAGCCACCACTAAAAGATGTTTTCAAAAAAATATATATATATTCACGAAAATTTCAGCACCTTACGATGAAAAAGCATATTAAAACAAAAAAATATATTGTAGCTCCACCCTAAATTTACTACCACTTTTTCAATTTTTCAAGGACCGCGGGAACCCTGCAAGTGTACATCATCTTTAAAAATATTTTTTTTTTTTAAAAAAACATAAGTTTAGTTAAATATTTTTGTTAAAAAAATTGTACATCAAAAATCCGGGAACACTTTTTTATTAACAATTAAAAAGAAACTGAAAAGAAAAAAGCATGGTGCTAGCTTGTTTTTTTAAAACTTTTAACGTGATATTTAATGACTTAAGGTAAATTTGCAAATTTAATATGATAATATTTCGGAGAAACTGCTAACAGCAGTGAGTTACTAATCAAATTTAGTTTTAGCTCACGGAGACATTTCTTTAATGAACTCTACATTTACTGAGTTCTCACAATTTTGAGCAATTTTCGTCAACATTTCAAGGACCAAAAATGGAGATGCTTGATTAGCTTTTCGGAAAAGCCGTAATGAAATCCTGTGACGTTATCATGGGAAAGCTTTTTAATTACGTCATTAACCGAGGATGATTTTCGTTCATCGACTTTATCGATTAATCTTTTGACGTCGAATTTAATCGATATTGTAAGATACCTTGTAATGATTATTGAACCAAACCAAATTGATTTTAGCTTCAATGCTTCATACGTTTCTAGCTTAGAAAGTACCAGTATCAGAATAATTTAAGACCGAAATTTCTTTCTCAGAATATATTTCTAGATATACTTTTTTTTTTACTTTACTTTATCAGAAAAAAAGTTTCTAGCAATTCAGTTAAATAAAACTGAACGTGATAGTTAAAAAATACTTACATATTAAAAATAAAATGTTTTCATACAGAATTGTTGCAAAATAGCAAAAGAAACCTTAATTAAGAAAAAGAAAATAACACGATATTTTGTACCATTCTAATTTTTTAACTTCAAATGGTCAACTTCGTCATCAATCTGATTTTTTCTCGTATTGTTTATATATTGATATATATTCTCTAAAGCATATATTGATATATATTCCAAAAAACATGTATTGATATATATTCTACAAAACTTGCATTGATATATATTCTATCAAACATATATAGATGAATATTCTACATAAGCTCGTTCCTCAGATAAAAACTTAAGTTATAGTTGGTATATCACATTTTTAGCATGGCAGACGATAGCAAAAAGCAATATTTCATTTTAAAAAAAAATTGTAAACATTCCACGATTTCACTATTCAGCTGCACGTCTAGACGACAACGAGAAGGAAGAAAAAAGCACAGTTATTGGTAGGCTGTTTCCTGCTCTTTTCTCGCCAGCGGCGCCAATATTCGTGCAAAAATAATAATAATAACCAT